GCCACCCTGGCCCGGCCCCCACCCGCCACCCGGCCTGGCCCTTGGGCCTGGGCTGGTCTCCTGCACTTCCTACTGACCGCACGCTGGACCCTGGGTTTCCGGGGGGCACTCTGCTCCTCAGCTAAGCCTGGGCTCTGGCTCTGTTCCTGCTGACAGCTCTGGGTCCTCCCTTGCACCCCGGACCTGTCGCCCCGCCACGTCCCAGGCCCCTTTCTCTGGCACCAGTGCTCCTGCCCGGCCCTTCATTTCTTCTGTGGCCGGTCCACCAGCTCCTCTCCGTGAGCGCAGACATGGCTTTCCACGTTCAAGGCCTTCCTTGAACACCCAGCAGCTCTGGGCTGTTTCTCCTGTGCCTGAGGGGCCCCGGGGTCCTGGGGGCCTGTGGGTAGGGTGGCCCCACCAGGAGGGCCCACAAACTGGCCTCATAGCTGCCCCTGCTGGAACTGCACCTGCCGGTGGGGCCTGGGGGCCCAGGATGTGCCCGACCCACGCCCATGCCCGTGGGCCAGCACCCCCTGCCCCGCTCAGCAGCCCCCACTCTCTTCGCACTCTCTGGTGCGGGAGGGTCCCAAGGCCTCCTGCCGGGAATGCCTGCTGCTGGGGCTATCTTGCACCCCTCGGGGTCCCCCAGCCACCCGCCCCCGACCTGACCTGTAACGGTCAGGCACACAGATGCAGACGCCAGCGTGGGCTGTGGCCGCTGCTGGGCTGGGCCCTGCTCTGTCTGTGCCTGTCACCCACTGGCCGCCACAGGCGGTGCGACCTGCCCTCTCGGTGTCACGTCCAGAGCGAGGGGCAGGGGCTGTGCTGACCTGCTCAAGGAAGCCACCTCCAGCCACCTGCCTGGCCCTGAGACCGACGGTCGGAGGCCAATTCCAGGGGCGGCCCCCGGCTGCCCCCACCACGCTCGCCACTGCCATGGGAGGGGTCCCTGAGTCAGCACGTGCCGACGGGTGGCTGGGTGACCACAGGCACCTGTCCAGCTGAGATGCCGCCCACCCCTTCTCCTGCCCGCCCTGGCAGGCAGCCAGCAGGTTCCCGCCAACAAGGCGTCTGCAGGGCACACGTCCCAGCAGGGGTCCCACGACGTCCTGGCGCTTCCCTTGGCCCTGCCACCTCCGGACACGGCCCCAGGCTCACCCCTCCCCCCCACGTGGCACGTGCAGCAGGAGGCTCTCGGTGAGCAGGGACGGCGGGTCAGGGCTCAGCTGCAACCAAGTCTGATCTTCGGGGGACCGGCGCCCTGACCGTCCCACCCCATCCTGCCCGATCCCAAGAATCCCCAGCCACACTGCCGCACAGGCTGAGGTCCCGGAGAGCACTCCTCGAGGGCTGGCCTCATGGAGCACAGTGAGGTTCTCCCCCACCAGTCAGGGACCACAGGTCTCTCCCCAGGGAGGAGCCGCAGCGGCCCCGCCCCACGGGAGCCAAGGGAAAGGGGCTGCGGGGCCGGGTACTCTGCTGACCCGGGGCCGCGGTGGCCCTGCAGGACCTGCTGGCCTCTCCCCCAGCACTGCCCGGAATGCCTCCAATCAGGAGGCCAGCAGGAGAGGCGGGGAGGGTGGCCGGCAGCTCACACCTCTGCAGGCCTGGAGTGAGGGGAACGAGAGCGCCTCAGTGAGTGGGAAAGAGACAGCAGGTGGGCAGGGAACCCCCAGCCGGCCGCTTTCTGGGCGCTCCTGTCCTGCTCAGGGCCCTGCAGAGCACACCCCTCTATGAGGCCGCAGGGACTCCACTGACCAGCTCTCCAAGGAGAAGGACCCAGGTCTACGCAAGTGACCCTGGGGACAAATGGACCAAAAGATCTGAGGCCAGCCCTGAAGCCCCACCCCACAAGGCATGCCTGCACACGCTACCTTGTTGAGCTCCTCGATTCTGCGGATCAGGTACGGGTTGCTGGAGGAGTTCTCGAAATAGACGTAGTCTGCAAACAGGAGTAGAGAGTGAAACCCCACAGCACTGAGCCCCGGGGACCAGGAGAGCCCCAACCCCCCCCCACGCCCTCAGTTCTAGGGGCCAGGAAACTGGAGGGAATGAAGGAGAGGGTGCCCCCGCCATCTCGGTGAGGAGCCAAGGGAACCAGAGACATGCTGGTGGGTACTGGGCATGGGTCCAAGATGTGGGGGAGGGGGCTGTCCCAGGCAGAGGCCTGCAGCCACCCCGCCATCCCGGGGGTCCCACACCGGCTGCCCCCAGGACCTCCGTCCCTCCTGGGAGACACTGTGGGAGTCAGACTACAGCCTCCGCCGGGGCACAGCTTCCCAGGGGCTGCTGCTGGCCTGAGAGGTGGGCCCCAGTCATGCAGGCTGGCGGGCAGACAAGCGAGCACGGCCAGCAGCAGTCCCAGAGACCGCGTCAGCATGCGGGAGGGATGCCGGGCCCCTGCACCTCCTCCCCCGGCCCCATGCGCCCCTGGCAGTGAACGGAGGCCAGGGCTGCCCGGGCATCCCGGGCTGAGGCAGAGCTCAGTGGGACGGGGACGGAGTCAGGTGCCAGAGGAACGCGGTCCAGAGGTGCGGCTGCCACCCGCCAGGTCCCCCAGAACACCATGTCAGCACAAGCGTTCCTCTGGCTCCGCAGCGGGCGGCCTGGGCTCTGTCTCAGGGAGGCTGGCAGTCACCCGAGATTTCCCAAGAGGCCCATGGTGGGAGGCTGGCAGACTCCCACGGAAAGCCCAGGACAGCCATGAGGCCACCCAGTTGTCAGCCTGGCCACCTGGCTGACGCCTTGATGTTGCAGGTCCTTCAGAGCAGCTGGGGAGGAGTCAGCACCAGGAAAAGGCCAGGCTGCAGTCCCCACCAGCCTGCACCAGGAACGCCTTCCCCCTGCCCCTCGGTGCCCACACGGAAGGCCTGCAGTCCCTCCCCAGGGCAGTTCTGCAGAGGACGGCCAGGCAGGAGGCTCGTCTCAGCTGGAACCCGCTTAAGGCCTGGATACAACCAAATGCCCACACTGAGCACAGCCTCTGCCGAAGGACCTCGGCCAGCTCCATCCCACAAGACGTCCTACCAAACAAGCATCTGCCCCCTGCTGTGGCTGCGCACCTGCCCTGCACCTGACGGGGCTCACCTGCCCTGCGCACCTGCCCTGCACCTGTCGGGGCTCACCTGCCCTGCTCGCCTGCTGCGTGCACCTGCCCTGCCCTGCACCTGTCAGGGCTCACCTGCCCTGCGCATCTGCCCTGCACCTGTCGGGGCTCACCTGCTGCGCGCACCTACCCTGCCCTGCACCTGTCGGGGCTCACCTGCCCTGCGCACCTGCCCTGCACCTGTCGGGGCTCACCTGCCCTGCGCACCTGCCCTGCACCTGCTGGGGCTCACCTGCGCTGCCTGAGGACACAGCTGGCTCAGACGTGACTGTGCCCTCACAGAGACTAACAACCCACAGGGACCACGGCTACGGTGCTCAGAGGATGTGCTCACGGGGTAGCTGAAAAAAGGGAGGTCTACAGGAGGGGACTATTAACAGGCATGAGGTCAGCTTGAGGGCAGTGGAAACGCTCTGAACACAGACAGTGGCGACGCCGTGCAGCTCATGAAATACGAAAATTCAGTGAACTGCATGCTCAGAATGTGTGAATTTTATCTCCTAAATCATTATTCAAAACGCCATTTTTATACACAGTTACATCACTCTTGAACACCTTCATTCTAAGAAACCAAGGAACCAATTAAACGGAGGCTGTTATTCACATCTAACCTGGTCACAGCCCAGGAGAAGCCCCACCGCACGGACGCAATGCTGCAATGCCTCCGAGCCCGCGTCCTGGCCGTCC